TCAAAAATAGTTATATAATAGTTTATGTGGATTAAATAATTTTGAAAATACTTATTCGTTATTTATGCATTACTTTCACATATAAGAATGTAAATATTAATATGATAGTGAAAGAAAATTTCGAATTTTCGAATAAATGAATAAATTTAAAATAAAAAAAACATTTATTAAATTAAAAAAAAATATTAGATACATCCTTGATAATATCAATTTTAGTTTTAAAAACAATTAAGCTAAGTTGCTAGTATTTTCTATTTCGAGTAGTTTCAATGAATTAATTTTCGAAATTCTAATTATTTTTTTTGATAAAATGTGATTTCAAAAATATTTAAATATCTTCCATTTCCTTTACTAGTCCATTCATCTATAGTTATAGAAAATTTTTGTCCTTCATTTTTCATACAGTTTATTTCATTTATAGTTTCATGTTTTATAGATTCGTAAAAGTTGTAAATAACCCTAGAATTATTCTGTGGTAAGCAATAATTCTGTTTTTGTAATGACTCTCTTATAAGCGAGCTATTTGTTATGCAATTAATTGATAGTCCATCTAATGCAGCGAGCTTTGACACTATTTCTTCTAAACTAGTTTTTTTCACAAAATTAGAAATACGTGGTTGTGTACATGTTTGTAATGTAAAGCCGGCACCCGAGAATTTTTTTTCGTTTTTTTTATCGTGTACTGTTTTCAAATGATTATGTAAATTGCTTGTGCTTGATCCTTTGCAAGAAAGCATTTTATTGCAATAAATACAACGCGCTTTTTCTTTGTCTACTTTTTTTAAATAATTCCATTTCAGTCTGACATTTTAGGCTACAAAAATATAAATAGTTTAAATAATAATATATATTTTTATAATAATAAAATAACTAGTTACATTTCGTATTATATCTGTATCAAATATCGATCAATGGCACTGAACACTGAATACTGAACTTATAAACTGCACATAAAGAAACAAGAAGTCCATTGATCTGAATTAATATAAACACTCGTATAAACATTATAATTAATATATACATTAGACAAAAGACAACACAAAACCTTTCTGGGAACCATAGCAGACTGATAAGATTCCAAACGCTATTGAACCGATATGATTCCAAGAATCAAAACGCTGCATCGCATTTTATATTAGGCTATATTTGTCATTTTCCATTTATATAGTAAAAACCGGCTTTTTTTAACTTAAAAATCGGTTTTCGAATTTCATAAATTTCGTCAAAAAAACGGTTTTTGAAAACCGACAAACCCTACTTAATACATTCTAATAATAGTGTTGGCAATACAAAAAAAAAATTCAAACCAATATTTTTTCCAAAAATTCTAAGCAGAATATTTCCGATTCCAATCAAAGTAGTACTTTATGCGTTTAAAATGGATCAGATTTATCACATTATATAAACCTTATACCGTGACTGTGTGACTGACATTCATTGTGAGTCATTTATATAATTATATAGGTAACTCTTCACAAAAAATTACGGGCATGGCAAATTTAATTATTATGTCGAATGATTGTTCTTTCCAAATGTCTGTCTTCCCTTCGATTCCATTAATAAATTTTTATCTTTACAACTGGCGGATAATAAATTTTTCATTCCTCAAACTGTCGATGGAATCTTGGGTTGTGATGTATTTAATGCTATTATTTTGTCAAATCATATAAAAACCATCGATTCAACCATCGCTTAGTTGGACCACCTTCTAATTAGCGTTATTCGAAAGCTTATTGTTTTTTTCTTTTAGTTCTGAAAATATTGTTCAAATCAATTTGGTGGAACACACGCAATCGGCCTGAATGCTCTGTCAGATGAATGAAGTTTGAAAGTTGGGAATCGTGCTGATTAGTTTTTGGTAAAGATCGGCCGGGCCGTTTTCTTGTAATAAAGTGTTGAAAAATTTTTTTCGACGATTTTTATTATTATTTTTTTGGCGGTAAACACTATAGTCTTCTAGATCATACTAAAATATTACGACTCTACGACAATTGGTTTAACTTTGAAAATTCATTTGTCAAAATTAGACCTTTCATCGACGTTTTCTCAAAAACGCCTGAACCGATTTCAGAAATTTAAAAGCCATTTGATGTATTTCGATGAGGACTATCGTTTGTCAGTTATGTGCGACGATCTGCCAAGCCTTTTTTTTGGCATTTGAAAAAAAGTATTAAACTTTTCGTCCACATTTAAGCTCATCCTACCGAACCGATTTTAAAAAATTAAAAACTGTTCGAAAGATATCATTTGGGAATGATACTGATTAGTTTTAGTTGAAAATCTATTGAGTCGTTTTCTTGTAATTAACTGTTGAAAAAAAAATTTAAGCCGATTTTTATGGAATTTTTTTTAGCGATATATATCATGGTCTTATAGAACTTACTGTAATATAACGGCCTTACAATAAGTAGTTTAATTTTAACTAGTTGGTTTGGTATTTAGCCTTGAGGCAAATTACATGAACTTCCCGATATGTGTAAATAATCGACTTGATCAAAAAAATGTGTAAATAATATACTTCATCAATCCTACTTTAAAAAAAACGATAATAATTTTAGCAAAGTTTGACGAATTTTTAAAATTAAACTACTTGTTGTAAGGCCGTAATATTACAGTAAGTTCTATAACACCATGATGTATATCGCCAAAAAAAGTTCCATGAAAGAAGGATTAAATTTTTTTTTTCAACAGTTAATTACAAGAAAACGGCTCGGTAGATTTTCACCTAAAATTAATCAGTATCATTCCCAAATGATATCTTTCGAACAGTTTTTGATTTTTCAAAATCGGTTCGGTAGGATGAGCTTAAATGTGGACGAAAATTTAACACTTTTTTTCAACAGTTAATTACAAGAAAACGGCTCGGTAGATTTTCACATAAAATTAATCAGCATCATTCCCAACTAATATCTTTCGAACAGTTTTTGATTTTTTAAAATCGGTTCGGTAGGATGAGCTTAAATGTGGACGAAAGTTTAACACTTTTTTTCAACAGTTAATTACAAGAAAACGGCTCGGTAGATTTTCACCTAAAATTAATCAGCATCATTCCCAACTAATATCTTTCGAACAGTTTTTGATTTTTTAAAATCGGTTCGGTAGGATGAGCTTAAATGTGGACGAAAATTTAACACTTTTTTTCAACAGTTAATTACAAGAAAACGGCTCGGTAGATTTTCACCTAAAATTAATCAGTATCATTCCCAAATGATATCTTTCGAACAGTTTTTGATTTTTCAAAATCGGTTCGGTAGGATGAGCTTAAATGTGGACGAAAATTTAACACTTTTTTTCAACAGTTAATTACAAGAAAACGGCTCGGTAGATTTTCACCTAAAATTAATCAGTATCATTCCCAAATGATATCTTTCGAACAGTTTTTGATTTTTCAAAATCGGTTCGGTAGGATGAGCTTAAATGTGGACGAAAATTTAACACTTTTTTTCAACAGTTAATTACAAGAAAACGGCTCGGTAGATTTTCACCTAAAATTAATCAGTATCATTCCCAAATGATATCTTTCGAACAGTTTTTGATTTTTCAAAATCGGTTCGGTAGGATGAGCTTAAATGTGGACGAAAAGTTTTTTCGAATTACAAAGAAACGGCTTGGCAGATCGTTGCACAAAACTGACAAACGATAGTCCTCACCGAAATACATCAAATGGCTTTTAAATTTCTAAAATCGGTTCAGGCGTTTTTGAGAAAACGTCGATCAAAAGTCTAATTTTGACAAATGCCAAAAAGACCATACTGATTTTTGCAAACTTTGACTAATTTTTAAAGCTGAACCAGTTGTCGTAGGGCCGTAATATTTTAGTATGACCTAGAAAACTATGGTATCTTTCGTCAAAAAAATAATCATAAAAATCGTCAAAATTTTTTTTTTAAAAACTTTATTACAAGAAAACGGCCCGGCCGATCTTAACCAAAAACTAATCAGCACGATTCCCAACCAATATCTATCGAACGGTTTTTGAATTTTCAGAATCGATTCAGAATTGCGGGCTAAAACGTGGACGAAAAATTTTTCACTTTTCTGCAATTTACAAAGAAACGGCTTGGCCGATCGCCGCACAAAACTCAGAGACGATTGTCCTCATCGAGATACATCAAATGGCTTTTAAATTTTTGAAATCGGTCCAACCGTTTTGGAGAAAACGTCGATTTACGGCAAAAAATCTGTTCACACACACACACACACACACATACACACACACACACACACACACACACACACATACTTTTTCCAAATTTGGTCTCATTCGATTCAGAATGGCTCGAAACGTCGAGAAAACATAAAATTAGCGATTCGGATTTTTTTATGAAAACATAAACTTCTCCTTCGGGAAGTTAAAAAATCATCAAAGTTTGAGAAAATTAGTATGTAGTTGTTTTGACATTTGCAAAAACTAAAATTAGACGATTTACTTGGTATAACAATAGAGTACTTGGTCTTAATGGACATACTGAACCATTAAAGTCCTACGGAAACTGATTCAATTATAAAAATTGTTAATTTTTGAAAATTAGCTTTTTGAAAATACTCCGAGTTAACGTGTTCGTTCGTTTTCAATTATGTGTAATAAATCCACTCATAAATTAATTTATCTTTTTTTGATTTAGTCGATTATTTACACATATCGGAAAGTTCATGTAACTTGCCTCTAGGCTAAATACCAATACCAACTAGTTTTTATCAAGGATTGTCCAACCCTAATACTTATTTGTAATTTTGGGGTCAATTTTGCTTTATTAACTTCCCGTAGGGTAATTTTAATTTTATTAATGAGTAATTGAAAAATACATACATCTCTTTATTTCAAAATACTTATTATTATGTATAGATTATTCGTATTCAAAGGAAATATTTCAGTATTTCCATGTAGACAAATGTTAATTTCATCTTACTTCTAAAATTTCAAAATTTAGATAAAAAATATATAATTCTCATAAAAATTCCAATTCATCTAATTCATTACATACTTATATAGTGTCGAATTCTAACTACTTAGCTTAAGACTTTATTCCAGCATATGGAAATAAATTTAATGTAAATAAAAGTTAGGTTGATAAAACTACAATATTATATTTTCGTTTCATTAAATTTATTCAATAAATGTTAACCATCAGATTTTCAACTTCTTGACTAGTTTGTTTATAGTAGCGTGACATAGTTTGGTGAGTTTTCTCAATAAGATCATCCAAATTATCCAACGTTAACCCTTGTGTGGGAATGGCAGGTAAGATGGTGATGATGTTGAATCCTAGAATAAAAAAATAGAATGTGAAACTATATATAAATATATATATATATATATATATATATATATATATATATATATATATATATATATATATATATATATATATGTTTTTGGGCGACTATCCATTAATTGATTGATTGATTAACGTTTTGGGTCCTGAATTGACCCATCTTCAGTGCATACAAATAATTTGAAGAAAAAACAAAACACGGAAAATATAATGCAACAATCTACATATATATAAAAATAAGTCGGGTTTTCCTTCCTGACGAAATAACTCCAGAACGCACGAACCGATTTCGACAATTTTGCATTCGTTGGAAAGGTCTCGGGCTCCGAAAGGTTTATAGCTAAGAAAATTAGTGGTGCATAGCATCGTGTCTTAAAACAAATTGCTGAAACTTAAACGCACCGTAATTAAAAATTCGAGTATTGAGGAAACATCATAATTGTGCAATGTATCTTAATCAACCATTCGACCCGTGAAACCAAAAAAATTTTGCCGTGCTATATTCAATAGCATACACTATCCTTGTCAATTTAGCTTAAATTAGGGAAGAATCTCGAAATGCGAGATACCCAGCTGTAAGTCTGTAAAGACTTGTAGATTGGCACCCTAAAAGTTGTCTCAAAACCTACATATGATAGGGTGTGCGTAGCGCAACTATTGGGATGCATGGCATCGTGGCATCGTGCCTTAAGGCAAATTTGCCGTACCTTGGTACGAAACCCAAAAAAAAAAATTGTACAAAGTGTGTACACATTATGAAAATCTTCATAAAATATCTGTGATAATTTGTTGTGCATATATTTAATAATCATTTTTGACCGCCAAAATGCATTTTTTTAACTTCTCGCTGGGCAAGTTACAGTAATCGCAAAAAAATCGAAAATGAAAATTTTTATATATCTTTACGTTTCAAAACCTTCTGAACATTTTGGCATACCTTAGAAAAAATGTATGTATGTGTATGTGCGTGCATGTGTGTGTGCAGATACAAATTTTCGTCGACGATTTCGGGAACACGGTTGATCGATTTGAATAATTCAAAAAACATTCGATTCGTATTCATAAGGAGAATATATGGGGCAAAAAGTGCCAAAAACGGTAACTCAGTTTTTAAGAGAACAGAGTGTCCGATTTGAATAATTCCAAAAACATTTTACTTGTATTAACAAGGTGAAGAACTGATCAGGTCTAGCGGTTTCGGAGATCTAGTAAAAAAAATGCCATTTGGCGGTCAAAAATGATCATTAGATATATGCACATCAAATTATCAGATATTTTATAGAGATTTTAACTATAAGTTTAATTTTTGTTTACATTCCTATGGGTTCCGTACCAATGTTTATGCTTTAGACGGCGTCGCGGCGCTTACGCGCTTCGATGTTTTGTCTTTATGCAGTTAAAGCAGTACGATTGCTTTAAAAAAAAGTTCAGAATTTCCAAAATACTTCAAAATAATTTTTTTTTCAGTCTTTTTTTTTCAAAAAAAAAGTAAATTTTTGTCAAAAATTTATAGTTTCTCAAAAATCTAATTTTTTCAGAGTAATTTTTTTTCAAAAATGTTTGAAATGATACCGAGCATTACCCTTTGAAGGGAATGCACACGTTTGAAAAAAAATACAATGCTTGTACAATAAATGTATTATCTGCTTTAACAAAATCATAATTTTAGATATTTTTATAACTGTCTGAGCAGTGAATCCGATTTATTTAATTCAATAATCTTGTTTATTTTTATTTTATTTAATAATTTTAATTTTGTTTATTTATTTGTAAAATTATTAAATTTAATCACTTTCATTTTAATAAATTGATCTTAGATTACTCTCTTGAGTTTATTAATTTTATTTGTGATTTCAAAAAACTGATCACTTGAAATGTTATTCTATTTTGCGATTTTATAAACTTTAATCACTTGATTATTAAATCACTAAATAATATTTTAGCGGACAGTATATTGGGCCTTAATATTGAATCCTTCGAGTCTGATAAAAATGTTTCAAAAAAGTCCTTAAGGGGGTTGTTCTTTTTTTATTTTTCTTTGTTTCGGTTTCGAGATTTTTTGATATTATGAAAGCTAAAAACCTTAGAATTATTTAAAAAAAAATCATCTCAATATCTATTTTTTTGACGAAGTTATAGATATATATATATCTCTATACGTATGATCCTCTGAAAGCGTTTTTTTATCGTTCCGCGAGCTATTGTATGCCAGCTGCCTCTTTTTCATTATAATACCTCATGCACATGACCTTTTTAATGGTCAGCATCTTTGAACACCATGGTGTATTTCGTACATTAAATTAAATGGTGTATTTAGTACATTATATTAAAAACTTTAAATACGTTTTTCTCAAATTGACATTTTTCAATGCGGTGCCACAAATTTAAAAAAAAGTACAAGTCGGATCGACTTGCATTTTTTTTTAATTTGTTCACCACTGCAATACCTAGTCCCCCTACCTCAAACAACTTGATAACATTACGCAAAAAAATTTTGCGAACCTTCTCGTCCCAAAAAAAAGCATTTTTTGACACTTTTTTTTTAAAATAGCTGCCATTTTTTTCCTTCTTGCTATTTTTCTTTCATTTTGGTAGGGGGACTGCATTCAAACTTCTTCTTCAACGTAGTTTCGTTTTTTTTTGTTTCAGGCGATGCGCAACGGATTTATCTGTGGCACCGCAAACGTGATCGATTTTGCAATGCCCACTTTGGCGCCCCCTGGTTAAAGAATGACGGCGAAAAAAAATAAATAAAAAATTTCTTAATATTCTATGATTTTGTAATTTTTGTTTAAAAAAAACCGCATGTCTTTATGATAAATACATTTCGAGAAAAACAAAAACAAATACCTTGCATGTTTTGTAACAAAAAAAAGAACAACCCCCTTAACAATTATTGTAGTATAGTAGTGAAACCTTATATATAAATAATTTTGATAATAATAATTTTGATCTTTTACCCGAAGAAAACTTTTTGATGCTGCAGTTCAAAAAATGGTATCTGGATACTACTATGGGTTGAATAGGGCACTGATTTGTTATAGCTACATAGAATGCTCCTTTTTTGAATTGAAGTAGTTCAGAGCCACTATGCCTTGTTCCTTCAGGAAACATGCAAAGTTTTGCCTGTAAAAGAGTAACATATTAAATCAAATGATATCTCATGTATTGTTCTAACAAATATATTCCAGCAATGCAAAGTATCGTAACATTTGGCGAATATAATAACAATTAGATGCAAAAAATAACTGGAATAAATCGTATATATTACGTCCCTTCAAAATTTATAAAAATTTATGTTCACTTTTACTTTTACTTATCCATATTTTACTTTCGTTACTTTCTGTTCATTATCAGTATTTTACTTATGTTCTGTTACGTTACCAGTATTTTACTGTTCAATCAAATATTCAAAAAATAGAAATCAAGTTTTTGAGAGAACGGAGTATCCGATTTGAATGATCCGTAAAACATTCAATTTGTAATGATTGGGAGAAGTCTTGATTAGTTTTTGGCAAAGGCAAGTCCAGCTGATTCAAGGATACAGAGCTAAATGCGCAAAAAAATGTAGTTTTAAAAGAGCTAAACATTCCATTTGAATGATTTAAAAAACTTTCTGCTTGCGTTGACAAAACAATTTTTTTTGTATGTTTCTTTTATTTCGACAATTTTTCAACTTTTGTTTTGTATTTCTAAATAATTCAGATTTTAATTTTAATTCTGGCTAAAGTTCTAAAGCTCACTTATATACTTGAAATAAATAACTTTGTAATTTGCCCTTTTTTATTCATTTAAGCGTAGGCTTGACACATTTATACGTTTTAGTTTGAATCTACAACTTGCTAAAAGTTAAACTGTTTATCAAATATAAAGTTTAGAAAATTGATAACTAATTCTATACTATGAAAAACTAACATGCTTGCGATTGATGGCTTGAGCAGTATCGTTGACTGCTTTTGTGGCTCCAGTTCGATTTTTTCTATCAATAAATAGCGTTCCCCAGAGGTAACTTGCTAGACCAAATGGCCAAATGTAGAAGATCTCACGTTTGCTTATAACTGTGCAGCGACCCACAAGTGGCCACAAGATAGCTAAAACTGAAATTCAAATGATATTACTAATTATTTTTTATTTTATTCTTAAAATACTGAATTAAAAAATCTAAATTTGTTTGTAATGTTGTTGTAAATTTGGTTAATTTTACAAATTTATCTCGAAAGCAATATATGCTTATGCATTGTGATACTTATTAATAAATTTGCAAAATTAGATAAAATCAATTATCAATGTAATTTAGTTCAAAGTAGAGAATATTAATTTATCAGTTTTTAAGCAATTGTTATATATATATATATATATATATATATATATATATATACTAGATGACCCCACAGACGTTGTCCTGTACCCATGTTTACAACTCAAAAGTTCCATTTTTTTTCAATAACCTATACTGATATTTACCAATTAGTTAAAAAATTATTACACTACAATTTACTGAACAAATTTATTTCCAATACCTCAATTTATTTTAATGTCAAAGGTTATCCAATATTTTGTCATACCTGTAGATGTAGTTGTATAAATAAATGATTTTTTATTTATTCGCGACTAAAACATCGATTTTCCAAATTTATGACACAAAAATTCAACGTCTGCCTTTGTGATTTATAGTATAAGATACACGAATTGGAAACTGCAGTCTTTCAAACATTATAATGAATTCAGAAAGCATTTATATAATATAAAGTATCCGCGGTTAAGATACAATATCCTTGGATTTTTTCACTCAAAATAATTGCTTCAATAATGTGCTCATAATTTTTATAATCTCGTACTATATATTAATTATTTTCAGTAATAATAATATCTAAATTATATTTATTCTTAATTATAATTCGATATGCAATATCACTTAGGCTCATATTTTAAGTGAGTTAATCGGTCAAATCCTGTTCATATGTGCACTATTCTGTCTACGACCAACGAAATTAGTGTAGTAAATGGAGATAAAAAAGGGTTAAACCTGTGAACTTTTTTTGCTGTGCTCCACTTTGCGTGATATTTTGGAATCTCTTGAATCAAGTTAATTCTAGATGAAATACGATTAATGATTATGATTACTGTAATTTCGGTGAAAATGGCACCCATAAAACTATTTGATTTAAATAAAAAAAAGATCTTTAATACTTATTTTAAAGCTTATTTTGAGCACTATAAAACCCTATGGAATATATAAAATGTAACACCTCGCCGCTAGACGGCTTCAACAATTAAATTTCGAACAAAATAAAAAACGACTAGCTTTTTTTATCTGTCTTAACATTATTAGGACACATAAAACACCGGTTTATAAAATTTTAATTGATATAATTTTGTTCATTACATGATTTTAGTTAAAATGTATATTTTTGGAATTATTTGCAAAAAACGATGGAAAACGCCGAAAAAAAACGAATTTTCAGTAGCCAGTAACTTGAAGTATTGCTTTTTTGAAAACTTGAAAGTATTTGCTTTTTTGAAAAATATTATGAAATATTTTTTTCTTATAATTAGTTCTTTTATCGATATCCGATGTTATTTTGAAAAAAATACAATTACACCACTGCCCCCGGGAAGTGGCAAAGGAGTCTAAATTATTTTCACTTTTGAACTTGATAGTAAGTTAAAATTAATTACAAAATTTCATACAAATTGGAATACAGTAAAAAACTTCAGACCCAAACCGCCCTTGACTTGAGTAAATATTCCGTATCCAATGCCAAACATATGTATTTTTGACACAATGAAACTTTTAAATAATTTTTTAAATGAGTAATTTTTTTATTGTGATTTTGTAAATTAAGGCAAAATACGACTGCATTAGTTAAAAAATAATAATCTGTCAAATTGAATCACCGAAAGTCCACAACCGTCGGACGCATGCGCAGACTGTATCTTATATTATTTTAATTTTTGGCACAACTCAGCTGCTTTTCGTCAATAATAATGTGGACATTATATTTTTCTTATTCATAATCACGAATATATTATAGTTTAATATTGTCTTGATTCATAAGTGAATTAAAATATTTGGCCAAAGAGAGTCTTTGTTTGTTTTCAATGCCAAACAACGACTCAAATATTTATTGTCAAAAATGATAGAACGCAATAAAATATCGATTAATCAGTTATATTAATTGCATACTATAGGTATGTGTGAACATTGCACCATGAAAATTTTATTATAAGAATTTAAAGCATGAATATTAAAATTAATTAAAAAAATATTTGTATATAAGTATGAAATAATAAGAAATATGTAAATGCCAAAAATTAAATATAAGAAATATTCACATAAAAAATCAAGTTTATTGCAAATACACATTGTTATTTAACCAACTACATCATTCATAATGATATCAACATAAAAAGAGTAAATAAAAAATATTCGGTGGACTTTAATAACACCGTTCACGCTAGTGTTATAATATATTCATAGTTTCTATTTTGTTTATTTTGTGATATTTTGAAAAAATATTTATCCTGGCACGATCGTAAAAGGTTGGATGGTCGAATTTATATCAGTTCTCCAAATTTGCAAGTTTTAAAATAATCCTAGTTTCTATTTTTATATAATTTTAAAATTTTAAGGCCTACCTTATTATTATTTTTAATAAATAATCAGAATATTATTAAAGTAAGTGAATGAGTTATAATTATACAAATAAAAATTAGATTACTTTCAGGTCGATAGACATGGAAAACATTTAACAATAATCAATACATACTAGTCAGATCTAAGGCACTTTGGTGATTTATAAGCATAACAGCACCGCTATTTTTTACAATGTTCTCTTGACCGCGAACAATCCACGATATACCGATGAATCTGGATACCATGCGGCATAAACTTGCTGGAATACTAGAAAAAATTAAAAATGAAATTAAAAATTTGTAAGTTTATGTATATTTTGAATAGTCTTGATTTTGATATTGATATAATATAGTTTATTCGCGCTTACTTAGGTTTTGGTAATTTCTCCAAGAAGGAGTTCTAATTACTCCAAGGAGAAACCAGCCAAATTTTGAGTAAACGCGACACCCCACTGGGCTCTCCATTTCTCCCCTCAGGAGAAATATCATTGCAACATATCGAATCAACAATTTTAGTTTTACAATTTTTACAATCAACAAATTTTCTATTATCGATATATTGACGACATAATAACATGCATTCCAAACAGCGACTTAACATCTCTCGCAAATTATTTTAACTCATACTACAAACATTTGCAGTTTACTTTTGAAATTGAAAATAACAATTCCATCAGCTTCCTAGACTTACAGCTTTACCGTGAATACAATAGCATAATTACTAATTGGTATCAAAAACCAACTTACTCAGGTCGATACCTAAACTATCTTTCCTACCATCTACTAAAATAGGGCTCATTATCAACTTAATAGATCATGCTATACTATTGTCTCATAACAAATTCTTGAAGAACGACCTCTCATTAGTATCACAAATCTTAAGAAAAAATTCCTATCCTCAACATTTGATCCAATCCATAACTAGAAACAGAATTTTATATGTTTGATATTAATTTTAAATATTTGAGCTAAGGATAGCTATGTAGTAATTAATTGTTTTTGTCTGTAAATACCTATCATTAAATCCAATATGTTGTATCAATTTCCTTTTCCAAATTAATTAAAAAAAAACTTTTTAGTTTTCCACGCTCTCGATGAAGACTGAGATGCATGGATTAATAAAGCTGTTTTCCTAATTGAAAATTATATATTGTGATAAAAAGATTTTGATACAAAAATATATTTTAGACTTTGTACAATCAGAATTTTGTTTGTTATTACAAATGGTAGTATGATATATTTCGTGAGAGATTGATCGACATCTCAGTTAATTAATTTCCAGCAAATATTTTATAAAACAGTAATCACTCACACTTAGAACATTTTTCCGATCCGATTATTAATTATTTACAAATCATGAGTATTTTAATATGCATTGGTGTTAATCTAAGAATTTCAAAAAAGTAATGTTCTTTATAATTTTGTAATTTAAGACTTAGATATATATAGTCCGTCCTTTTAGTTAAATTTCTTTTTTTCTCTGTTTATATTTCGTTTTTAACTTTACTTTTTCTGTTTATTTCAAAATTGTTGAACCACTGATGACGACGTAGAATTTGGAACGTATGGAATAAGAAAAATGTTTTAAAAATCTTTACTTTATGTAAATTATACACATACTCCCAGACACAGCAATTTTCCACGCTTATTAATTTTTTGCAATTTTTATAATGTTTTAGGCGATAATTATAAATATACTCACTATGCATTTCTGTAATCACGTGGCCAAGGTAACATGAGAGGTATTGGTAAAGTGGCGGCCAGCATACACCATATGGCATATATTGAAAATTTCATATAGTAACGAGCCTTATAATTAACCGCATATAGCAACAAACCTAAAAATGAAAAGCATCAAAATATGTTTTATATCAATATGGTAGGTATATATACATATATATATATATATATATATATATATATATATATATTTGAATAGTCCTGAATTTGATGTTGATATATATGTTTAATTTGAGTTTAATAATCGGGCGTAACATCAATAAAAATAGTATGAGTTTTTTTTAAAAATTTATTTATTTAAAATCCATACGTTTCGGCTAGCATCTTAGCCATCATTCAGTGGTAATCAAGTTAACTATAAAAATTGAAACTAAATAAATTATATGAAAGGAAATTTTGTGGAAAAACAATAATAATAATAATAGTAATAAAACACTTACAATTTTGTATCCTAATATAGCATATGAAACCATTATTAATCCATGGTATGAGTATGTGCACATTGATAAGATATATATTTTTAACACAAACATCACAAATGGTAAAACACACTAATAATCATGATAACTTAACAAGTTGTCGAAACTATGTATTTACTCTTTGGAGTTTAGGATAGAAATGTCACATTTTTCTCAAAGCAGTTTTTAGCATGTGTTGATATTTTTTGGAAAATTTAAAAGGCGATGGGATTTTGTTATTTTTTAAGGAATTTTGACACGCTATTAAGAAACCACGTGTTCGTTTCGATAAGGGCCGTATTGTCATTGCGTTTATAAACTTAAAAAATAACAAAATCCCATCGCCTTTTAAATTTTCCAAAAAATATCAACACATGCTAAAAACTGCTTTGAGAAAAATGTGACATTTCTATCCTAAACTCCAAAGAGTAAATACATAGTTTCGACAACTTGTTAAGTTATCATGATTATTAGTGTGTTTCACCATTTGTGATGTTTGTGTTAAAAAATATATATCTTATCAATGTGCACATACTCATACCATGGATTAATAATGGTTTCATATCCTATATTAGGATACAAAATTGTAAGTGTTTTATTACTATTATTATTATTATTGTTTTTCCACAAAATTTCCTTTCATATAATTTATTTAGTTTCAATTTTTATAGTTAACTTGATTACCACTGAATGATGGCTAAGATGCTAGCCGAAACGTATGGATTTTAAATAAATAAATTTTTAAAAAAAACTCATACTATTTTTATTGATGTTACGCCCGATTATTAAACTCAAATTAAACATATATATATATATATATATATATATATATATATTTGAGTATTTGAATTTGGTGATGATATATATTTTGATGAGTTCGGGCTGTAACACCAACCGCTTCTTCGAGACCGTCATTCAGTGGAACAACTAAAAGATTTTATAACTAATGTAGAAGGAAAATGATACAAAATTGTAGAGCTTATATATAAATTAAATTACACAAAAATACACTACACTATTACACAGTATTAAACCAAGCTATTGATAATTGGATCATTTAAAATTATATGATTTTTGTCAATTTTTTTGTGTGTGCCGAGTTATAAAGTTTACTTCTAAAAACTGAACGAATTGTGTTTACATTTTTTTTTTGTGAAAGTGTAAAAAAAAGACTAGTAAACTAGTCTAAGTAAAGACTAGTTGAAGACTGAGTCAAAAACTAAAACTGTAATCGAATTACTCAATAAAATTATTCTTAAATCATCTAGTTTTGCAACACCTAATATTACAAGTTCGCCTTATTCGGGTATATCCTTGGAGATTAAGGAGTAAATAGCCTATAAAAGAAAAGCCAGGCGAAAATTGCAAAACAGCCACACAACCGTAGATAGAAATATTTTTAACGATTTGAGCAATAAACTCAAAACTAAACTTAAAGAATCAAATGATAATGGCTTCGCCAACTACGTGCCTAACCTCAATCGCTTTGACGATTCTATTTGGCGTTCTATAAAGTCAAGAAATTGAAATGATATGCATAGTTGGGTAAGGATTGCTGGGGTTGATCCACAATGCCTTCAGGATATAGGTAGTCCTCTCCTTGGTACAGTAATGTAGATTCGGTTGTAGATTCCTTGGTCCAAACCTTCGAAGAGTGGCTGAAAGAGTTCCTCTACACTAATGTAATTGAAGCACTGAATTATATAACTTGTCACTTTTATTTGATATTTAATTATACTCTTTTAGTTTAAGAATCGGACATGATTTCGGGTCTTGATGTTATGACGTACTCTAGACTCTCTCTTAAAACTCACTGAATTCGGTGGACAATCTCTATTATATTTATTAGGTATAGGACGTGGCATATGTGCACTTTCGCATTCGCGCTCTGGTCATGTACTTCGATTATTTATCTTTAAAAAAAATGCTAAAATCCTTCAAATCGGATGCTTCGTTCTCTCAAAAACTGCCATTTTTGCACATTTAGCTGCATATCCCCAAAACGGCTGAACATGCCTTTGCCACAAGTAATCAGCAAGTCTCTCTCTCAATAGGAAACGAATGTTTTCTAATATTTCATATCGGCTGATCCGTGTGCGCGAAAGCGTGGACGAATAATTCTATCCATACAAACGCACACACACACATACAATAACGTTTGCCTTTTTACCTCCTTTCAAAAATCACATGAAAGTTATGACTCTAGACTAAAATATCACCTTAAATATAAATATTTTTCTGTGCGTAAATGTGTTTTGTGGGAACATACTTAAGAGAACGAGTATTTAAAGCAAGTCTAAAAGCTCTGAAGGACATGATTCTTTTTTCTGTGGCACAGTGTAATCGCGGGCCGTATGTTTAACATGTCTGATTTATATGGACCCTATCATTTTATTTTGAGGCAGGTTACGAAGCTCAGACTTATTTTTTTTCCCTCTAAGAATCGTATTCTATAGCATGTATTATAAATAAAACTTGTTTCATTTGCTTTACGTGTTAAATTTAGAAATCATTTTTATTACATACCCGCAATTGCTGCCTTCGTCAGTGTATGTGTCCCTAGACCTTCAGCTATATCCATCGTTGATCTGATTAATCTATAAAAATATAATACAATTAGATTAATCATGAATAAATGGCAGTTATGCATAAATAGCAGTACGCACTGTTATTATAAACAATCTGTAAAAAATGTAGTTGTATTCTCAAATAATATCTTTTGAATAGTTTTTGATATTTTTAAAATCGGTTCACAATTTTTGGCTAAAACATGTACGAAATATTTTTCACTTTGCAGCAAATTACAAAAAAACGGCTCTGTCTAATGTATCAAATATCTAACTCAACTCAACTCAATCGACTCATACATTTTAGAATTTTCAAAGGTAAAGAAGTTGTCGTAGGTCCGTAATATTTTTAAATTTAAATTATCCAAATGACTTTTCGAAGAGCACAATATTTATATTACTTTTTGTCTATTCAAATAGTTTAAATTTTCATATTCAACAAAGACAAAACACCATTAACAAAAAAGAAAGATGCATTTTACAAAGTAAATTGTCGTAACTGCAAATGTTTATACTATGGCCAGATCAGTCAAAATTTATAGAAAAGACTTAGACAGCATGAATTACAATGCAAAAAATTAGAGAAAAAAAGTTAAAAGTACGCTTATTGATCATGCTAACATCAATAACCATATTTTTAATTTTAATTATCACAAAATTCTATTTTACAAATGGAGCTTGTTTAACGGTAGTATGGCTGAATCCAGTGTCTAACCTTGTTCGAGAAAGTTAATCTGCATAAAATTAACTAGTTGAAAGTAGTATTTTGCCTTAGAGCAAGTTGTATGAACTTTCCGAAATGTGTAATAATTAACGTAATTAATAACGAATAATAATAATTTATGTTTAATAACAAACTTTAATAAACCTGTTATATCTACCTCACTAATTAAAAAAGATAATTCTTGGGCAAGGAATTGCCAGGAAAAGGCGAATGCGTTTGCAGTTTATTTTGAGCAAGTTTTCCAACCAATTCCGTTACAAATATCATATCATGAAGAAACATTTATACATGACTTTTTATCATCAAATGTTGAGGCATCAGGTAAATCAGGTAAATGCCCGGCAATGACCTCATTACAACCAAGATATTAAGAGTCTACACCTAAAATAATAAAATTTATTACTATCTTATTTTATACTATTTTGAGGTTGAGAATATTTCCGGATGCATGGAAAACTACCAGGACTGCTTTGTCGTCCAGAAAGAAGGAAAAGATCCATGCATGCTGAAATCATACAAACCCATAAGTTTACTTTCTATTCTTTCAAAAATTTGTAAGAAACTTTTGCTTAAAAAATTTTTAGCGAATTAAAAAGCAACTAGTGGGGTGTATGGCATTGTGCCTTAAGACAAATTGCTGGAACTTTCCGTACCGTAACGAAATGTTCGAGGAATACTGAATGTTTTCAAATAGATTATTATAAATATTGTAACATTGTCTAATATTTATAAGAATTATATAAACTGAATTGCAAAGTTAAAAGTATATTAGAACTTTAGTCAGAATTAAAAATAAAATCTGAATTATTTTCGGTATACAAAAAAAATAAAATAAAAAAAATTAAAAAAATCATACAATTTTTTTTCAAAATCAATTATTTTGTTAAAACAATCTGAAAGTTCTTTGAATCAATTAAATTGGACGCTTAGTTCTCTCAAAAACTGCCATTTTTGCACATTTAGCTTTAATAATCACTTCTCCCAATCATTACTAATTGTGTTTTTTAGATCATTCAAATCGTATGCTCCGTTCACTCAACAACTCGATTTCTATTTTCTGCACTCTTTGCTCCGTATCTCCGTAACGGCTGGACCTGTCTTTGCCAAAAACTAATCAGCACATCTCCCAATCAATAGGAATCGAATGTTTTTTAAACTATTCAAATCGGTTGATCCGTGCGCCCGAAAACGTGGACGAAAAATTGTATCCATACATACATACACACACACATCCATTTTTTCTTAGGTATGCCAAAATGTTCAGAAACCATCAAAACGTCGAGAAATGTAAAAATTTTCAATTTTGATTTTCGGCCCATTACAATAACTTACCCTACGGGAAGTTAAAAACATTATACCCCAATACCAATTTGTATTCAGAGAGTTGCATTCGACAATAGAGCAAACCTACATAAAAAATGGGGTGACAGCTTGAGATAAAAACCAAAAAGCTTTACTGGTTATTAGAGACTAAATCCAAATTATGCTCATACAATAAGCTACTTTTGTATAAAATTTTCTTCAAACAAATTTGGTGCTAGGGATGGAATTGTAGGGCAGTGCTCATAAGACTAATATAGAAATATTACAGAAATTTTAGAACAAATTTTTGAAAATTGCCTTAGAAGCACCAAAATATATCCGAAGCTGGCTGATTCATCTCCACACCTACACACCTATCATAAAAGATATAATAACAAAAACTAGCAACAAAACTAGCTAAACAAAAATTCACTAGCAAACTCCTTAATAAGAAAGAACTATCGACATAGATTGAAAAGAAAAGCGCCACTTGATCAAAGTCATCAATTTTCCCGATAAAGATTGAAATAACATCGTTATTATTTATAAGAAATTATTTAAAGGTAAATAGTTAAGATCATATCATCATCATTAAAACTTTGTTAATATTATAACGAATCGAAAAACAACTATTGAGTTGTTTGGAACATAGTATAAGATGTAAATGAAACTAGTTGGTGTTGGTATTTTGCATTGAGGCAAGTTACATGAACTTCTCGATACGTGTAAATAATCGACTTAATCAATAAAAAATAAATTAATTTATGAGTGATTAAAAGTAATCCGAGTGAATTTATTACACATAATTGAAAACGAACGAACATGTTAACTCGAAGTATTTTTTAAAAGCAAATTTTCACAAAGTAATTATTTGTATAATTGAACCAGTTTCCGCAGGACTTTAATGGTTTAGTATGTTCATCAAGACCAAGTAATCTATCGTTATACCAAGAACATCGTCTAATTTATATTTTAACAAACGTCAAAAAGACTACTCATTTTCTCAAACTTTGATGAATTTTAAAAATTAAACTACTTGTCGTAAAGTCGTTATATATTTTTGTATGTTTTAGAAGACCATGTTATGTATCGCCAAAAAAAGTTTCATAAACATCGTCAAATTTTTTTTCAACATTAATTACAAGAAAACGGCGGGGTTGATCTTCACCAGTTTTTGAATATTTAAAATCGATTCAGGATTGCATACTAAAACTTGGACAATTTTTCACTTTCCTGCTATTAACAAAGAAACGGTCTGACTGATCGTCGTACAAAACTGACAAAAGCCAGTCCTCATCGAGTTACATCGAATGGCTATCATTTTTTTTTAAATTGGCCTAGCTGATTCAAAAAGTCTTTTTGGGAAATCGTACATACTTTTTCTAACTTTGGTTGCATTCGATTCAGAATTACTTAAAACGTCGAGAAAACATTCAATTAGCGAATTGGATTTTTTGTGAAAACAAACTTCCTTCGGGAAGTTAATAATTAATATTTTATAATGTTGTAATAAGTATACTTTTAAAAAGAATTTACACTGAAGATGAGACATACCGTAGTCTCAAAACTTTCCGATAAACTCAGTCTGCAATTTTATGAAATAGTTTTATGAAATATTATATATATATATATATACAGGGCCGGTCCTGCCTTGCATGCGATGCATGCAAAAAATGCGGGCGCACGCCTTAGGGGGCGCCAAAACGAGTTTCGGAAATTAAATTTTTAATATAATATTTATATTTTTTATAGAAAATCTAGAAATATTTATATAAAATCTAGTATACTTAACAAATTATAATAAACAATATAACTCAACTATAGGGATACGAAAACACATAAAGCATTATTTATTTTGCAATGTGATATCAGTAGATATACAATTAACCGATTAATAACTCTACAAATTAGTTAATATCTTCTCTGTTTATTGCTTAATCTACTTATTTGTTTGAAGTTACCGTGGAATCGAAAAAGAGATTATCTAGCGCAAACCTGCGAAAGATTAAATTAATTACTGGGCATTATTGACAAAAAATTGCGAGCTGATTTAGTCGAAACGGAACTTATTAAAAAATATAAACAAATTATAATCGGGAAAATAAAAAAAGGGGAGTCAGTGCTTAGAAAATGGCATGTTTATTCCAAGAAATTGAATTGTAACTTTTGCTTTTGTTGCAAATGTTTCGCATCTGATGAATTCTGAATGTTGAAGACATGCGTGGTTAGGGTTATGAAAATGGAACAAATATGAAAAATGAAAGCAAAATTTACTTTGGAACGAAAATCTTAAGGCTTTTTTTACCTAATGGTGTCCATACTCTAAATTTAATAATTATTAACTATGCAGAATTAATACATCATTATACAAATATAACAAATATAACAAATTTTTCTTCAATATAGTTCAAGAAATGTATAATTTCTTTGCATTTTTCACTGATTTTTGGACAATACTTCTAAAATATGTTACAAATTTAACTTTAGAACAACAAACTGATACTATGAATATGACGGGAAAACAAGGATGAATACAATTCGGCTCTTACGATATCAATAAGGAGAAGTTTACGACGCAATTTTGGATATTGTAAATGATAAAAAATTAAATTAAATTAAAATTTAAAAAACCCAACATTAAATGCGAGTGTTATGATGGAGAATGAAAAGCTAGTTTTTTTAGCTCTCTTGACATGATTTGTTTAATAGAATAAATCGCATAATAATTAAGTAGAATGTTTCAAAACCAAAATATTAATATTGCACATACGTTAAAAATATTTGAAAACTTAAAAACATTTGATTATAATCAACCCGCGAATCGGCTCGATTTTCTAAATAAATTTAAAATCAATATATTTTATACGCTTTTAAATTATATCTAATTTTTTATGTACTAAATCCAGAATAATCAAAAATTAATTTTCAGAAAATATGTGAATATTTATATAATTTTAATGATAAACAGTTAAAATTGATAGGGGGGGGGGGGGCGCTAGAAAAAAAGTTGCATGCGGGCGCTAAGGACCCCAGGACCGGCCCTGTATATATATATATATATATATATATATATATATATATATATCTTATATATAAAAATGGAGCTCTCTTTCAAATGTCGAAAACGGCTGAATCGATTTGGCCAGTCTTAGTCTTGAAAAATTCGTGCCAATCCAGAGAGAGTCCGAAAGGTGAGAAATTATTTAAAATCCGCGTAGAAACTTTTTATTTTTAATTTGAAAATTTTTGTAGAAGCGTAATCTAAATAAAACAATGGACGGTTGCTAATCCGTGAAATGTCAAACGTTTTTGACAGATGATGTTCAATTACTTTTAATAGGATGTTTTGCGTGAATATTATTTAATTATGATTAAATTGTAGTGAGTAGTTTTGTTTGTAGTTTTATTTATATACAAAAACGTTAGTAAACGGGCCGCAAGAGTTACTAGAGACACAAATATATCAACTTTTTTGAAATGTTAATATGAAAATGCATTTCTTGGCATATTTTTCTCAAACGCGGTGCTCTGAAAGATATCATTTGTATAATTATATACTCATTGATATTTATAAAACATTTTCTAGGTTTTATTATTTTTTATTTATGTTATTTAAATTTAGAACCTGAATTTGGTATCGATCGAAGGGACATTTTGTCGAATAACATTTTCCCAGTTATAATTTCGCAGTATTTATCGAAGAATAGATAGTAATATATGAAGGTCCGGGGTTAAAAAGCTCCACCACCGATGTGTCAAAATACAGTAGAGTTAAGCATTGTTTAACAACAATATTTGCAAGTAGAGGGAAAATGATGTATAATCAGCTATAACCTTGATTCTCATGACTTTGCTATTATCGGGAGATAAACGGTAATCTTTGAAAATCCATAATAAAAGTATTTTCTTCCGTTGGTAGTTTTTTAGCATTAGTTAAAAGTGTAATTATTTTGTAAAATACCTTTTAAAGTAAAATAAGACATTAGACCTGTTTGCCACCTGGCCTTTCAAAGTTACTCCGCCTATAGGGTAAAAAGGTCTAGATAACAAATTTTTGAAAGCAAAAAAGCACATTTCTACAATGATGAAGTAGCTGACAGTTTTATTGAACGTAGTCAGATTATTGTTCGTTTGAAATGTGTTATTTGTTGTGATATAATTGGTTTGATTTTTATAATATAATTAATATTTGCTCAAAGTCAAATTGGACCTTTGTGCCTCGCCCTGCTCTACATATATAGTTTTTATTAAATTTACTTTAATTCATTTTTTAAAAAGAGGGTTAAAGAAGAAATACTCAATTTATTTTCTACCTTTCCTCACAGAAATTTGAAAATTTTGTATAAGTTCAGTAGTATTACAATGATACACAAAATCCAGAATCCAAAAAGTATCTGGAAAACTTGGAACATAACCATAATAAGTCGAAAGACCAAAAAAGACTTGGATTTGATTATACCATGTTTTCTATAGAAAGTGTATAAAACTTTCAGTTTGATTGTATTGATAAAATATAGACAAACTAATGGGGTTTATTGTTTTTATAATACCTCATTGTATGCAAACAACATATCCTTATACAATCAAAGTATTAATATTTTTGATTCTTTAGAAATTATTTAGAATATACCTTACTTATCAAAACAACGTTAGCCGGGTCAGCTAGTGTATGTATATATATATATATATATATATATATGTGTATATATATATATATATATATATATATATATTTTGATAGGTTATTTAAAATCGGGCAGCAAAATATATATATATATATATATATATATATATAAAGCGAGAGGTTTTTCTCCAGATGGTGAAATAATATGATAAAGTTGTTCTTGGGCATCCATCCAGTAATTAGAAACAGTTTTATTGAAGGAAAATGTTTTTATTATAAAAAGTGGACTTTTTACACAAACTCCTAACGGACAACATGCTGGAAAAGGCTTTTTTTATAAAAAATGTAATATTTTTTTAACTTCCCGTAGGGTAGTTATAGAAATGGGCCGAAAATCGAAAATGAAAATTTTTGCATTTCTCGACGTTTTGAAGGGTTCTGAACATTTTGGCATACCTAGGAAAAAATGGATGTGTGTGTGTTTTGTATGTCCGCATTTTTTGGTCCACGTTTTCGGGCGCGCGGATCAACCGATTTGAATGGTTTAAAAAACATTCGATGCCTATTGATAGGGAGATGTGCTGATTAGTTTTTGGCAAAGGCAGGTCCAGCCGCTCCGGAGATACGGAGCAAAAAGTCCAGAAAATACATATAGAGTTTTTGAGAGAACGGAGCATCGGATTTGAATGATCTAAAAAACATTCAATTTGTAATGATTGGAAGAAGAGGTTATTAGTTTTTGGCAAAGGTAGGCCCAGCGGTTTCGAAGATACAGAGCTAACTGTTTAAAAAATGGCAGTTTTTGAGAGAACTAAGCGTCCGATTTAATTGATTCACAGAACTTTCTGCTTGTTTCAACAAAATAATTGCTTTTGGAAAAAAATTTTTGTTTCTAATATTTTTTTTTCAAAAAATATTTTTGTAATTTTGGATTAAAAATTCAAAAAATTCCCCGGTCTAAGCACAGTCTAAGCGCCACTCTGGTAGAAATGTTTACCCATGTGCGTTTAGACTGTTTATGCACTGGAGCACTTTTCCAATTTTGTGAAAACTATTGAAAAATGTGAAAATGCCGCCAAGCTCAAGTATAAGTGCCAATGTCGCACAGAATTATTTGCAAACGCGTTTAGACTGTGACTATACCGGAGCACTTTTTCAATTTTGTGTTAATTAAGGCAACTATTTTTTTGAAATTGAATTCGAAATGAAATGACGATTGTTAATGTTTTGGAGATAAATTGATTGATTTATGATTTACATTTGATTTGCTCAGATATAACAAACAAGATAGCAAAAATAATGAAAGTTATAGTATTTGTAATAATATGTTTGAAAACGTTTAAAATTTCTCGAATATTTGATTACGGTACGGGAAGTTCCAGCAATTTACCTTAAGGCACAATGCCATACACCACTAGTTTATTTTGATTTTACAATTATTTAAAATTGTTCATATAACTCGACGTTTATCAATTTGTGTTTCATAGTTTTTTCGTGCAATTTTCGTGTGTTTTTGTGTTTTTATTTTCAATTCATTTGTATGCACTGAAGATGGGTCAAATCAAGACCCGAAACGTATGTTTTCATAATAAAAACATTTTCCTTCCATAAAACTGTTTTTAATTACTATATATATATATATATATATATATATATATATATATATATATGTATATGTGTGTGTATTAATAATTTATTTATATATAGCTTATATAAATCAAGAGCAGAATATTAATTAGTGATATACATATAAAAAATTATAATATATGGAAATCATACAATGAAAATCGTTTAAAATTTCCATCATCACTTGAATTACATGCTTTGAAAACCGGTCCATGCATCATCTTATAGAGTTATAAAGTTCCACATGCTAGAATGTTCATAATCGATTTTATGAAAAAATGGCATTATGTAGTTACCTTATATTCCAAAAATATAGTATACACCAAACACTTATAACCAACACTTTTCATATAGATTTATTTAATGTTGCTATTTTAACAATATTTATTTATAAAGCGCTCCGAGCGACTCTCTATTATGAAGACTACCGATAAGAAACTAAATGTGTGACCTGGAATGCATTACGTTTTCGATACGAAATAACCTCCAGAACTATCACAGACATGTTATAACAACTCATAGACAATTACGCGTTACAGTTTTTACTCAAAAGTAAGATCATCTTATGTATATATATATATACTAGATGACCCGACAGACGTTGTCCTGTACCCACATCTACGTTTTTTTAATATCCTTTACTAATATTTATACCGTTCAGTTAAAAATATTGATTATTGTTTTTCGCATTACTATTTACACCAATATATGAGTGATGTTAAATGTAGAACTGCTTCAAATGAAATGATGATTCTCAATTCCCACAGTTAACGCCTTAATTATCCCTTTAACAAATATTAAAATATGTTCAATAAAATTGTATATTATAAATTATACACTGCAAATTTATTTCCAATAGCTCAATTTATTTTAATACCAAGGGTTATATAATTTTTTAGTCATATATGTAGATGTGGATGTATAAATAAATGATTTTTTGTTTATTTACGACTAAAACATTGATTTTACAAATTTATCACACAGAAAATCATCGTCTGCCTTTGTGATTTATGGTCATAGCATAAGATACACGTGTTGAAAATTGAAGTCTTTTAAAAGGTATAACAAATTCAGAAAGAATTAATATATATCCGTAAGGCCATAATATTACAGTAAGTTCTATAAGACCATGATCTATATCGCCAAAAAAAGTTCCATAAAAATCGTCTTAAATTTTTTTTTCAAAACAGTTAATTACAAGAAAACGGCTCGGTAGAGTTTCACCTAAAACTAATCAGTACCATTCCCAACTAATATCTTTCGAACAGTTTTTGATTTATTAAAATCAGTTCGGTAGGATGAGCTTAAATGTGGACAAAAAGTTTCACACTTCTTTTTAAATTACAAAGAAACGGCTTCGCACAAAACTGACAAACGATAGTCCTCATCAAAATACATCAAATGGCTTTTAAATTTCTGAAATCGGTTCAGGCGTTTCTGAGAAAATGTCGATCAAATGTCTAATTTTGACAAATGCCAATTTATTACAAGAAAACGGCCCGGCCGATCTTTACCAAAAACTAATCAGCACGATTCCCAACCAATATATTTCGAACAGTTTTTGAATTTTCAAGATCGATTCAGAATTGCGGGCTAAAACGTGGACAAAAAATGTTTCACTTTTCTGCGATTTATATAGGTCGTTGTTTCCCCCTTTGGGGGAACATATTAAAGATTATAGTGATATTTCTCTTAAAACAAATGAAACTATAGTTTCTACCACTATAGTGGTGTATGGCATCGTGCCTTAAGGCAAATTGCTGGAACTTCCCGTACCGAAACAAAATGTTCGAGGAATATTAAATGTTTTCAAATAGATTATTATAAATATTGTAACATTAATAATTACAAGAATTATATAAACTGAATTGCAAAGTTGAAATTATTTGTTTAATGTATATTAGAACTTTAGTCAGAATTTAAAATAAAATCTGAACAATTATCGATACACAAAAAAAAATTTTTTTTTGAAAAACTCTCTCTCAAAAACTGCAATTGTTTGTACAACTCTCTCAAAAACTGCAATTAAACTCTCTCTCAAAAACTGCAATTGTTTGTACAATTAGCTCGGTATCTCCAAAACGGTTGGGCCTGCCTTTGCCAAAAATTAATCAGCACATCTCCCTATCAATAGGAATCGAATGTTTTTTGAGCCGTTCAAATCGGTTGATCCGTACGCCCGAAAACGTGGACGAAAAAATGCGGACATACAAAACACACACACGCACATACACATCAATTTTTTCTGAAGTATGCCAAAATGTTCAGAAACCTTCAAAACGTGGAGCAATACAAAAATTTTCATCTTCGATTTTCGACCCATTACTATAATTACCCTACGGGAGGTTAATAATCAGACACCTAAATATGGCAATGAAAAAATACCTTTGTAAAAGACGGGAGGTTAATAATTTGGCAATATGAATAAAAAAAATTTAATATAGGAAAAATCTTCCAATAAGGGATGTTAACCATAATCAACATAAGGAATTGACTAAAGATACAGCATATACCAGAGGTATGCGCATACAAATAAGTTCAGTGCATTATCTGATGATTCTTCAGACCCTGAGGTTCAATTTGTTGAAGTACAAAGAAGAAAATCTATAAATCACAATTCATCTACTGCAAAAACTAACAGTAAAATGCCACCAATTATAGTAAGAGACAAATTGCCGCACATAAACTATTTTAAAGACTTGAAAAACATTACAAGTGAACATACTATAATACAATGTAAAAGTACTAATCATTATGCAATAAATACATTCAATGACAAGGACTATGATGTAATAATGAAGAAATTAAATGTGGATAATTTACAAAAAGAAGAAATAACTAATTACTTATAAAATAAAGGCATCAAAACTAGAAATATAATTGAAATGACTAAACAGTATTTTTACCATGATTAGAAAATTACATAGATAAAAGAAGAGTATATCGCGCTCTCAAAATATAAAAATAACCAATTTAAATTTTAAAAAGCATTTATTTTTAACAATAATATTTTACATACACGATTCCAAAAAATGGTATTTAGCCTTCTAAGCTAAGCACAAAAGGAATACATATACATATATATACATATATATATATATATATATATATATATATATATATATATGTTTAATTTGAGTTTAATATTCGGGCGTAACATCAATAAAAATAACACCAATAAATCTATTTTTATTGATGTTACGCCCGAATATTAAACTCAAATTAAACATATATATCAACATCAAATTCAAGACTATTCAAAAATATATATATATATATATATATATATATATATATATATATATATGTACGTATGTATGTACTTAGATTAAGGTAAATAGTTTAAACAATATTTTTACCACATAATTAAAGAATTGAGGTTGGATCCTAATAATAAGTAATCAAAATTTGAGAAGCTATCAAATCTCTTTCATGATTCTCAAAAGTTTACAAAATTTCCAGAAACAAAAGCAAAAAATATATTTAAAAGTAAAATTCATGTTGACGACAAATCTTCTCAAGTAACTCAATTTATACTTATTTCGAATAATATTAATTAACAATTAAGTTACTCTTTTGTTTCTGATAATCTTTTCTATGCATAGTGTTGATGTGCATTTGAATGTTGAACAAAATGTCATTATCATCATTAACTTAAGAAAAAAGAAGTTATTAACATTAATGTTAAAGTACTTAACCGTTTTCTTATGGCACCTACGATAAAACATTGTAGAGTAAAGCTATTCACAACTCCTTCAGAAAATATGATGCATCAAATGCAATAATAGGTGCACATTAACAGTGTTTTATTTCTTTAAATAAGAAAAGATCACCGATTATGCATAACCTGACATTTGAGAGTTCCTGAAAATCTATACAATGTGATTCCCTTTACAATCATTAAACAACGCAGATAATAATATATCTTGTGATACCAAAATGCTACTCACTACTACTGCTACTCACAAACTTTTCGTGAAACATAGCCAAACGTAAACTATCCTTTGCACTAGATAGAGTTTTATCATTAAGCCTCCCATTTAATATCTTAGTATCTTCTCTTAGCCGACTTAACATATAATTATGATCATTATTGCAGCATGTTTCAGACTTGCTTGTAAATTCTTTCTTAATGGTTTTCCCTGCTTATTCGTCTCATACCAATACTTGTGTTCAGTAAACCCTTTAAACATTTTATAACTACTTCCAAGAGAAAAACTGCTGAAAACATCAATGTTAAATTATTTATTATAAACCTTTGTTATCAGTACTTAATAACTTATCTTTCAGGGAGTCGGTTCGTCGGACAGCAATTTTATCTTTCAATATTTATAGCGTTAGAATTCCTAGCATTGATACAGTTGAATGTCTCAGTTATTAAGCTATAATAAAAACTTATATCAGAATAGTACTAATAGATGCAAGTATTTTGAAGTACGTATATATATAAAATACTTACTTATTGTTGAAGGCCCTGTTGTATTAATCATTTTACATACTACATCGGTTCTAGTAGGAAATACATAACTATTGCATTTTTCTTGGTATTTCTGCATTATAAAACTCGGTAATTCGATATCTTAATTGTTTTATAGGTTTAACAAGCGTTTATTATTATATAGTTGACTTTTGACACTAATCACCGACAAGAAATTTAAATCAATGGCGCCATTTTGAATTAGTTCTCTAATATTCGACATTTATGAAAATAAGCGCCACAAGTGAGAGTATTTCTAACTAAAACTCAGAGATACAGACATTCATAGATAAATAAGCAGACATTTGTAGATAAATAAGCAGCCATGGAAATTTATTTATAAGTAATATGAGTATATAAATTGTATGTATTAATTAAGAAAATAAATCTTTAAAAACAAAACATAACAGATATTTGTTCGGCCACGAACAAAATGCTGTGCGGCGCTGCCGTCGCGGCAGTTGACAGTTTTCATCACAACAATCTAAACAATAATGACTTGACTCTTGACTGCTGATTGCATCTTCTTTGCTTCTTCCTAAATTCATGACAAATATTGTCATGACATTAACTATAATAAAAAAAAAACAACTTTACGCCATTATTCGTGCTTGTGTTATTTTGTAAGTAAATGGAAATGTTTACGAGTGATAAATAATATTTAAATTGATATCGTTTCGTTATTTTTTTATGAATAGGCTACATGATGCTGTCTGTCTGGTTGCACGACCATACCTACAGTAAGGGCTATTCGGAGTTGACAAAAAACTCAGATGTCGAATTCATTGTAGAAGAACATTATTCGGAATCCGATTCCGATGCATCGGTGCACTGCGAAAGAGATAATAAAATCGGTTCGTCGCAAAGACAGGAACAACATGTGATAATAATCCAAAAATCTGCTGATGACATACACCGATGCGAACTGTGCAATAAGACGTTTAAATTTGCAACAAATCTTAAGGCTCATATGGTTATGCACAGCGGCGAACGGCCCTATGTCTGTGCCATATGCAGTAAAGCTTTTCCACGAATTGCCACCTTGAACCGACACATGCAAGTGCATACTGAATTTAAACCATTTCAGTGTGAATTTTGTGAGAAGAGATTTCGACAAGATGTCACTTTGAAGAACCATATCAGGACTCATACCGGTGAGAGATTTAATTGTACATGGTGTGAAAAATCTTTTAGCCGGCCTACCACTCTGAAACAACATTTACGAATACACATGGAGTCCACAGAGAAGCAAACACCATCGTACATATACAATTGTTCAATTTGCAATAAGACTTTTGAGTTACTCACAAATTTAAAACAGCATATGAGCACGCATTGCTAATCGAAATTTAAAATATGGTAAAATTCTTAAATATTATGGTAAAATTCTTAAATATATATGTTTAAATATAGTTAGATACAGTTATTTTATTATAATGTTTCATTTATGTGTGGTATTAAAATATGCATTAGTACCATAATATTTAATTAACATTTGTTCAAGTGACATAATCATTGCAATATGCATGTACAAATAGATGGATACCTAAAGGAGCACATATATTATAATGTGCTATTAATCAGCTGCTAAATCTACTTGAATATTGTAAGGTCACGATATTTGTAAATATAATTAATGTATAATCAATTCTTACAATAATTATTCTTTACCAACTTATGTAGCGTAGCTTTAAGAAATACATTCGTTTCATTGTATTATAGATGCACTGAGCAGAAAATTCAAATACAACTTTTTTTTAATTGAGATTTTTTTAATACCTTTTTAATCATTTTATTTTTCGGGTAACTTTTTCTATAATAAATTTATTTTTATAATTTTCAATAACATTACACAATTTCACTTTGAAGATTTTAATAAACTGTAATTTGATTATTTTAATAGGATTTGGATTAGGTATTTTCAAATTAACTTAGATCTGAATAAAAATAAATTTAGAACTATATTATTTTGAACTTTAAAATTTATTTAGGTTTTTATTTGTATGAAATTGATAGGATAATTTATGTGGGATGTAAGAGAGAATTTTCTCAAATTAAAATTTTAAGAATTTTGCAATGACGTTTATCGTGTAATATCATAATAACCTTTCTTTTGCTTTTTTCCTACATAGAATTTTTTTTTATGGGTTGGTCAATTATATATGGATCAGTGATATGCCAGCACAAAAATTTCCTCATTTGAGTCAGAAGAAAACCTGATTTGAAATGGACAAATATAAGATATAACAATAAGACAGAAAAAAGTTCATGTATTTATTTAGTAAGTATGAGTAAAAGTTAGTAAAAGTTCTGAGTTTGACCAATATACTCAACAAAGTAAAGATTGCTCATAAACACCATTATTTTTAACTTCCCGTAGGGTAAGTTATTGTAATGGGCCGAAAATCGGAATTGAAAATTTTAACATTTCGACGTTTTGAAGGTTTTTGAACGTTTTGGCATACCTCAGAAAAAATGGATGTGTGTGTGTGTGTGTGTGTGTGTATGTATGTATGGATACAAATTTCCAGTCACGTTTTAGGGCGCACGGATCAACCGATTTGAATGGTTCAAAAAACATTCGATTCCTATTGATAGGGAAAAGAGCTGATTAGTTTTTGGCAAAGGCAGGTCCAGCCGTTTCGGAGATACGGAGCAAAGAGTGCAGAAAATAGAAATCGAATTTTTGAGAGAACGGAGTATCTGATTTGAATGATCTAAAAAGCATTCAATTAGTAATGATTGGGAGAAGTGCTTATTAGTTTTTGGCAAAGGCAGGCCCAGCCATTTCGAAGATATGGAGCTAAATATGTAAAAAATGGCAGTTTTTGAGAGAACTAAGCGTCCGATTTAAATGATTCAAAGAACTTTCTGCTTGTCTTAACAAAATAATTGATTTTGGAAAAAAAATTATGTTCAATTTTTTTTTTTTTTTTTTTTTTTTTTTTTTTTAGTTTATCAAAAATATTTCAGATTTTATTTTTAATTCTGGCTATAGTTCTAATATACTTTACAAATATTTTCAACTCTGCAATTCAGTTTATATAATTCTCATAAATATTAGACAATGTTACAATATTTATAATAATCTATTTGAAAACATTCAGTATTCCTCGAACATTTCGGTACGGGAAGTTCCAGCAATTTGCCTTAAGGCACGATGCCATAAATGCCTCAAGACAGAATTCCACTTACAGCTAGTTAGATATAAATATTACTAGAGATTTAATGTATTATACATATGCATATTATACATACATACACACACACATATATATAAAAAATATATACGTGTAGTATAAAAAATAAGGATATTATTGGGGTTGTTCTTAATACGGGCACGATAACGTATCTACTCTCCAAGAATATTGTTAACTTCCCGTAGGGTAAGTTATTGTAATGGGCCGAAAATCGGAATTGAAAATTTTTACATTTCTCGACGTTTTGAAGGTTTCTGAACGTTTTGGCATACCTCAGAAAAATGGATGTGTGTGTGTGTGTGTGTATGTATGTATGGATACAAATTTCCAGTCACGTTTTAGGGCGCACGGATTGATTCCTATTGATAGGGAAAAGAGCTGATTAGTTTTTGGCAAAGGCAGGTCTAGCCGTTTCGGAGATACGGAGCAAAGAGTGCAGAAAATAGAATTTTTGAGAGAACGGAGTATCCGATTTAAATCATCTAAAAAACATTCAATTAGTAATGATTGGGAGAAGTGTTTATTAGTTTTTGGCAAAGGCAGGCCCAGCCATTTTGAAGATACGGAGCAAAATATGTAAAAAATGGCAGTTTTTGAGAGAACTAAGCGTCCGATTTAAATGATTCAAAGAACTTTCTGCTTGTCTTAACAAAATAATTGATTTTGGAAAAAAAAATTTTGTTCCAACTTTTTTTTTTTTTAGTTTTTTGTATATCGAAAATATTTCAGATTTTATTTTTAATTCTGACTATAGTTCTAATATACTTTATAAATAATTTCAACTCTGCAATTCAGTTTATATAATTCTTATAAATATTAGACAATGTTACAATATTTATAATAATCTATTTGAAAACATTCAGTATTCCTCGAACATTTCATTACGGTACGGGAAGTTCCAGCAATTTGCCTTAAGGCACGATGCCATGATTGCTTCAAGACAGAATTCCACTTACAGCTAGTTTTTTTAATTTTTTAACTTCCCGTGGGGTAAGTTATTGTAATGGGCCAAAAATCGGAATTGAAAATTTTTACATTTCTCGACGTTTTGAAGGTTTCTGAACATTTTGGCATACTTCAGAAAAAATGGATGTGTGTGTGTATGTGTGTGTGTGTGTGTGTGTGTGTGTGTGTGTGTGTGTGTGTGTGTATGTATGTATGGATACAAATTTCCAGTCACGTTTTCGGGCGCACGGATCAACCGATTTGAATGGTTCAAAAAACATTCGATTCCTATTGATAGGGAAAAAAGCTGATTTGTTTTTGGCGAAGGCAGGTCCAGCCGTTTCGAAGATACGGAGCAAAGAGTGCAGAAAATAGAAATCGACTTTTTGAGAGAACGGAGTATCCAATTTGAATGATCTAAAAAACATTAAATTAGTAATGATTGAGAGAAGCGTCTATTAGTTTTTGGCAAAGGCAGGCCGAGCCATTTCGAAGATACGGAGCTAAATATGTAAAAAATGGCAGTTTTTGAGAGAACTAAGTGTCCGATTTAAATGATTCAAAGAACTTTCTGCTTGTCTCAACAAAAGAATTGATTTTGGAAAAAAAATTCTATAATTTTTTTTTCTTGTATATCGAAAATAATTCAGATTTTATTTTTATTCTGACTAAAGTTCTAATATAACTTAAACAAATAATTTTAAATTTGCAATTCAGTTTATATACTTCTTATAAATATTAGACAATGTTACAATATTTATAATAATCTATTTGAAAACATTCAGTATTCCTCGAACATTTTGTTACGATACGGGAAGTTCCAGCAATTTGCCTTAAAGCACTATGCCACCCACCCCACTAGTTATTAATTAATTTTTATAAACATCTGTGTAAAAGCGATTTTTTAAACAAGAACATGGTTTGTATCATATTTTTAATTTTTTTTTCAAATGTTCTGTTTTATTATCACACTAACGGTATTTAAAAAATCCGATACAAAAAAAAATTCCGAGTTGAGATATGTATACAACTATAATATATACCGAGCGCGCAACGCACCGTCGAGTAGTCAGACTCCCGAATGGAAAGTGTTAAAATATATTTTGAAATTAATCCAGAACAATAAAATTAAGAAACACTTCTTCTCTCTAAAGCATATAAAACAATTTTTGGAATTTTGGATCGATTGAAGTCGTGTATATTAACTTTTCGTAGGGTAAGTATGTTATTGTAATCGTCCAAAAATCGAAATTGAATTTTTTTGCATATCTTCACGTTTCGAAGGTTTCTGAACATTTTGGAATGCATAGAAAAAGTGTATATGTGTATGTATGTGTGCGTATGTATGGATACATTTTTTTGTCAACATTTTCGGGCGCACCGATCGACCGATTTGAATGGTTCAATAAACATTCGATTCCTATTGATAGCAAGATGAACTGATGATTAGTTTTTAGCAAAGGCTAATCCAACCGTTTCGGAGGTACAGAGCAAAGAGTGCAGAAAATAGAAATCTAGTTCTTGAGAGAGCGTTGCATCCGATTTGGTTGATCAAAAAACATTTAATTCATGATGATGGGGTGAAGGGGTGATTAATGCAAAAAAGGGCAATGATTTGAATAACCCTCTGCTTATGTTGATGAATCGATTGCTTTTGGGAAAAGGACATAGGAAAAAGGAAAAAAATCTTATGTTTTTATAAAAAAAATAACATTTGCTAATTTTAAATCGTCATTTTCTCAAACTCCTAAATTTCAAAAATTTAAAAGCCATTCGCTGTATCTCGATTATGACTATCGTTTCTATCGAAACATATTGGTTGGGAATGATACTGAGTTTTTGGTAAAGATCTACCGAGCCGTTTTTTTGTAATTAATTGTTGAGTGAAACTGTTTTGACGATCATGGTATTTATAGATAATACTGGAATATTAAGGCTATCTGAGAAGTAGTGTAATTTTAAAAATTAATTAAAGTTTGAAAAAATATTAATAGTTAAAATTTGTGTAAAACTCGTTGTTGTGGTGTGATAGGTCTATAAAGTCAATTAGAAATAGTTTTGGAATTAGCAAAAAAGTAAAACTTCTAGTTTTGTAAAAGATGTTGCCACTCATTTATATCTAGAATAGAACCAAGTAAATGATTTAATACTTAATGGTGACAGTTTTTATAGCAGATGTTTAATATTTTATTAAATAATTTATTAAGTTTTTTAAAAAAAATATTTCGACGTTTTTCATGAAAATTAACCAAGCGATAAAGTTTTTGCATCAAACAGTTCTATGAAAATTGATTGAATTATATAAATCAATTTTGGAACAATAAGCTACAATTTTAGGACATACATCAAAAGCGCAGTATCTGTGCACTATAATTAATATAATTACAGATATTACAAATATGTTTGAGAAAATTCAATTGCAAATTGCATTAAATTTAATTGGAAACGAACACTTGATTTTCGAAATAATCAGTTGAAAGTGTTATCTAAGTCTTAATTTCATTTGATTAAGTCAAATATTACATCTATCGGGAAGTTTTTACAACTTGCCTTAAGGCAAAATGACACTTTATACTAGTTTTATAATTTTCACAAAAAAAAATGTATTTGAATATAAAAAATAATTCGGATTTCAATTTTAATCTAGCTGAAGTTCTAAAGCTCACTTATATATTTCAAATAAATAATTGTTTATGTAATTACACTTGTAATTGCATAATTTTGTTTTTAGGTAGTTTTTTTTTTTCATATTTTTAACAGCAATCAGAATTACCTTTCGTCCTATGAGCTGTTGGGCTGAAACTTTTCCTTAATTCTTCTTTTTTAGATGGTAACCCAATGGTTAATCCATCCATATTTGATGATTTTTGTTATTAGAATTAATCTAATAGGGCTGACATTTTATTGGTGCAGCAATGCCGGACAAGAGCTATTTTCACTTGGAAACATATTGCTATCTATATTTCCAAGTGAAAATCGTTGTCACTGCTGCCTGACAATAGGCTGCTCGAAGTGGGTATCGAACCTGGAACCTCTGAATCAAGTCCCGTCGCTCTTAACCGCTTACGTTTTTAGGTAGTAAGTGTCTCAAAGACTCCCGGGCACACTAAACATTTTCAAACAACTTTTCTGACAGATACTGTCAGAATTTGCGATTATCCAGGTTTAGTGTTTCCTTCGATGGTGCCACGGTACATTCAGGTGCTTATGGGGTCATATCCGATTTCTCAATTGCGTGAAACATTTAGCACTTTGAGATTTGTTGCAGAAAGGTATAATAGATAAATAATTTAGTATGTATCAAAACATAGTAATCTGTCAAGCGACAACTTTTTAGGTTAGATTTACCAAAATTATTGCATTTAAAACATCCCGATGGAGACAAGGAATGGTCATCTTATAACATTTGTGAAGCATGGGCTATTAAACGAGGTTTCCTGACTGCACGTGCTGCAAGACCTGGTATCAATTTGTTGCAAATGTGTTTGAGCGGTATGATTTGTTTGAAGCTAAAGCCACCACATTATGAAGAAATAAAAGGTACTAAAATAAAAAAAATTATAATACACAAGTAATAGATTTAATATTTATAATTCACCCAGGGCAATGGGAAGTCCACAAAGATTTGCCTGAAATACATAAAATGCAAGGAAGAACGAATCAGCAAGAAGACGATGATGAAATTGATTTTGAAGACATCTCTTGGCAAGACGAAACCAAAAACACACTCAAAGGTTAATATAATGATTTTGTATATCGGTTTGATAACAACTAATTATTGTGTTGCATTTTAGATCAAAGTGCTGATGAAGACTACTCAGAATTGAAACTTCCTGCAATTCAAAACAAATTTGCAGCTTTAATGGACTGAATAATGGACTTTATATATTATGTATGTGAATACTGAATTTGTTGATTTATTACAGATATTTATTTTCAAATATGCATTTTTATTTTAAGTGGAAATATCAACGTTTCATACCAATTTTAGAAATGAACAAATTCTATCTAGCCCTCTACTAGCTAGCTAACTAAATGTAGACTCAGAACAACAAATCTTTACCCTACTGACAAACAAAATCTAGGGAAAGTTGCAAAAGTCTAATAAATATGTTTTTTAATAAAGGAACTCTACTGACTACCAAACTGAAATAATGTAAGGGTTTTACTAACTGGCAAAATCAGCATTTTGTATCGTATTGACGATACAAAATGGTCTAAAGATCATTTAGACTTAAATGAACTCTACTGATTAGAAAACAGAAATTTTTATAGTAATTCACAAAGTCACCTATAGTATAAAACGCTTTTTGTCACACTTTAAATTACTTTGAATACAATTTGTAGTGTAAAATAAAAAAAGATAATTCTACTTAAAAATACAAAGTCAGTCACCTATAGTATAAAACGCTTTTTGTCGCACTTTAAATTACTTTGAATACAATTTGTAGTGTAAAATAAAAAAAGATAATTCTATTTTAAAATACTCTTTAACTCTTTGGGGATGGCAGTCCATCTGAGTGGACAAACATATTCTGTGAGGCACAGGCACAGGCACAGGCTATTTTGTAAACAATGACTCAGTTTGCATCGAAAAGTTGAAAAAATCACATATATCAGTGATAAACAGTATTGTATTTTGAAAATAATTTTAAGTTATTGTAGTAGTATTTTTAGCCCTTTTCTTTGCTAAGTCTTTTTTTTTTAATATTTAAAACGACCGAGCGCTTTTAAATGTGGCAAAACGACTGGTAAATTTTGTGCATTAAGCAGTAGTGAAGATGAGTTTCAAATAGACATTTATACCGACAAATTTTACGAAGTTTCTATTCGCACCGAAGAGAGTAATGAATGTGATGATGATATTATTCAACCTACAAAAACGAATGACGAATTAAATGAAGAGTGGAAAGACATTAGCGAATGTGCCGATTCTCCTTCAATAATCGAGTTTGGCATACATCAGCAAACACCCCGACTGCAAATACCAAGCAATATAATACATGCAATAGATTATTTTACTTTATATTTTACAAATGAATCATTAGACAATATAATAGAAAAAACAAACGATTATGGCAGCACGAAAATGAACAAATATACTGACTAATCAGTGGCATATTCTTAATGCGAGATAGAAAAAGCGATTGCATTGTCTGTTCTGACAGAAAAGCACCATTCACGTCACCATTCTTTATAAAATGATCAAAAATAAATTAATATTATAAATGTATGACCATCAATGACCACATATTTTATCAAACAAATTGCATAACATACATCATGAAATCAAGTTTACAGCCGGTACAGTAGGTAGGAAATCGGTGCCGTTCCGTAAATGTTAAACTTCTTGGTTTTATTTATATTTTCGATTGAAAATGGATTTGCTGACTTTATATTTTCTCAACGTTTCAAGTCATTCTAAATCGTTTTATACCGAAATAAGTTGAAGTATGTGGCTTCGAGTGTATGTTAATTAAGATTTGATCTTTAAAAACGGTACAGCGATTTCAAAAATTCAAAAACCATTCGATGAAACACGTAAGCGTCCATTGCTAGTCAAGTCGCCATAGTTGTCAACACAATTAGCCGTGTCAATGAAGCATAAAACAGACAAAAATAGAAAGTCATCAGAAATAGCGCCTATTCTATCAATTTTTTTCATTTTTGATTTTTAAATGTAATTCATAATTATATGAAACACTTCAGAAAGCGAAAATAGTTTTTTTTTGTTTAAACCACATGCATGTTAATATGTAAAGTTTTTGGGCTGTGTTTTTTTTTTAAAGAAATTGTGTATTAATAGTTTTTATTAAAACCGTGTTTACGTAAAACTATATATGTTGTAAAATAGCCAAATTGCTAGAGCTCATCAAAATCTTTATATTAAAGTTAATTAATTATAAAAGTTAATTTTAAAAGGCATACGATTAATTGATAAAAATGTCAGATGAAATCAGTGAATTTGAAAGAAAAAACTATTAGGCCTAGGGGTATTTCTCATTTTTGACATACACAGGAATATATAGATGTAAATATTAAATCATTATTAACAACGGAAATCAATACACCAATAGTTAAAAACTAATTTTTTTATATAGAAAACACGCATGTTGTTATGTGTAAGCTAGTGGGGTGTATGGCATCGTGCCTTAAGGTAAATTGCTGGAACTTCCCGTACCGTAACAAAATGTTGAAGGAATATTGAATGTTTTCAAATAGTTTATTACAAATATTCAACCATTGTCTAATATTTATAAGAATTATATAAACGGAACTACAAAGTTGAAATTATTTGTTTAAAGTATATTAGAACTTTAGTCAGAATTAAAAATAAAATCAGAATTATTTTGGACAAAAACATTTTTTCTGGAAAAAAATTGAAAAAAAATTTTTGCTACAATTTTTTCTTTCTAAAATCAATTATTTTGTTAAAACAAGCACAAAATTCTCTGAATCATTCTAATCGGACGCTTAGTTCTGTTAGAAACTGCCATTCTTTGCACATTTAGTTTTGTATTTTCGAAATGGCTAGGCCTGCCTTTGACAAAAACTAATAACCACTTCTCCCAATCATTACTAATTGAATGTTTTGTAGATCATTCAAATCGGATGCTCCGTTCTCTCAAAAACTCGATTTCTATTTTCTGCGCTCTTTGCTCTTTATCTCCGTAACTGCTAGTAACCAAAAACTAATCAGCACATCTCTCTATCAATAGGAATCGAATGTTTTTTGAACCATTGAAATTGGTTGATCCGTGTGCCCGAAAACGTGACCGAAAAATTGGATCCATACATACATACACACACACAGATCCATTTTTTCTGAGGTATGCCAAAATGTTCCAAACCTTCAAAACGTCGAGATATGCAAAAATTTTTAATTTCAATTTTTGGACGATTACAATAACTTACCCTGCGGGAAGTTAATAAAAAACTTTTTCTCCTTCTGAAATATTTCTGCTTTTGAATAATATTAAAAAACATTTCATTTACTTTTTTAAATGAACAAAATTGGAGTTGTTTCTGAGAACTTATTTGACGCTACATTGACTCGACTAATAGCGTTGTCCCATTCTGCATCTTTCCAGTGTTGCTATTGGTCCGTGTTAGAGAGAGATGGCGATATGCATTACATAACTGCATTTTACTTGTGGTGAGTTTTGCGTTCAGTTCGCATTTGACCGGCAGACAGCTTGTAAAGAATTGAAATAATTGTAAGTATAATATTAAATTTAATATTTTTTTTTTGCATAAAATCTACGATACATATGAATCTTTAGTGGTTTGGGTAAAGAACACGTGATGGCATTTATAAAGCGACTGATTAAAATATATAAGTAACCACGTGTGTGTTATTGCGTTTATGTTCACGAGTTACCTTTTATCTCAGAAGTTTTTCCGAAAGAATTAGGCTTGTTTAATTATTTTTTTGGTACTACTACTTCAAGTACAATTTGTGTCGCCACTTTGTTTTTACATAAGATAAGCAATTTCGGTAACGATCCGTCTTGTAGTTTCTTCATAATGAATTGAATTATTTTTTTGGCTTCAAATTTAGATTTTAATGAAACCTCATAGTAAGATATTAGAGGCGTATGATGAATATTTTTGATAATTTGTGGAAAATTGTCAACATATTTGAACAATTTGCACAAAATTGAACACTCTGCAATAGTTTCTTACATTATAATGCTTTAAAGCAACCGCGAACACTTTAACCATAATATCTTATTGATTATTTTTTCTTTTTCATTCTATACTAATTCTATTCGAATATTGTATTTGTTCACTTTTGATAAAATTAAAATTTTATACTAAATGACATAATAAGATTTCATCATACTGTATTCAATACATGAACTGTTCGGTAGTTCGGTTTCATTCAGTAATCGGTGAAATGATCGGTTTCATTATGTATTTCGTTACGGTGGGAAGTTCCAGCAATTTGCCTTAAGGCACTATGCCATACACCCCACTAGTTTGCTTTTTGTATTGAAAGCTTTACACTTACAATTTTGAAAGTATTCATAAATATTTTTTTTAATTACAATATTTATTACATCTGTTAAATAATTAACATCTAGCAACATTGATAATATTCATAAATATAAATTTAATAATTTTAACAAACCTTGAAAAAGTACTGTAATTTAAATAACCATCATTTTTTTGTTCAAGCAACTAATTTTGTCGTGGTTTGGCAAAATATCGATTATTTCTATAAATGAAATTTTATGATGCAAAATTATGTTCTATAATTATCTACATAATAGAATAATAATAACTTACGTTATATGGTTCTGACCGCGGATAATTGTTTGAAAGGTATTTTATAGTTTTTATTAGTATTTAAGTATGCTAGTGTCTTTCTAATTAATATTCTTCTCTTTTCAGGCAAATTAATCATGGTGTTTGTAAATCATCAGTTTATAAATCATCGCGAGTGTTGTGCAGTGTTTATTCCTCATTTTAGATAATTTTTATTATTTTCCTAATTAGTAATTTAATAATGTAGTTTAGTTCAGTTCCGATGAAGTTATTTATTTAGTGAAGTTTATTCAATAAAGTTTATTTAATAGTTCATTTAGTGTAGTTTATATAGTAAAGTGCCCAAAATTGAGGTTAGCTGTTATCCAGGTTCTCCCGAAACCGCTCTCTTCTGGAAATCGAGAGGTAAGTTATAATTTTAACAAATTCAGATACAAAAAAATATTTGTCCTAATTCACTATAACATTAATATAAATTTATTATAATAGGAATTTGTAAATTTAAATATTTGTCATGATTTATAAATTAAAACAACACTGAATTCGTATTACTCTTTTCAAGCCCTGTTCGTTGATATGTCACATACAGTTAGATTTGCC